CTCACGTGCTAGACTTGTTGTGACATTTAATTGACCTGCTCACCACTCAAATTTTATCAAAGCTCCCTCATAAGAAATACCTTTACCTTTTGTGTTTGTTCTTACTTCTAAACACATGAGACGAAAACAGTAATAAGAACACATATCTGAAGGAAGCATTTGATCTGTAGTATTTTGATGGAAACGAACATGTAGGCAAAAGAACTATACTCGGTGATGGAAGTGTTCGATTGAGGATATTTAGAGGATGATTAGCAAAGTCGATGGTGAAGGTGAAGGTGAAGGTGAATGTTGGCGTTAATTTTGAAGAGTTAAAGAAGATGATGACTAACGGTGGAGCTTGATGAAAATCAATCGGGAACTAAGCTATGAGAATAAGAACTAAGCTTTGAGAGCACATGGACATGATTGTTCTTCTTTGGTTTCGGTGAAGAAATCGAGTTCGAGAGATCAGAATACGGTGAGTCGAAATTGTAGATTTGGTTTTTTGTAAACGCGGTGAGTCGTTTTTATTAGTTTTAGAAATTAAATTTTAAATGTTATCACAGGAGATGGAGAAGCCATGGCTGGTTTAGCCGGTGATTCCGAGACACTTGTGTCTCCTTCACTATCAACTTGGTTAAAAATTCGATGACAAAAACTTGATGCTCTGTTTGAGCTTGATTCTTCTTAGGTGGCAGAACATAGAGATCACCATATATAGCATGGTTTATATGGTACGTATTTCTTCCTTTTTCTTACAATAATGACATATTTTTAACTTGAAACAATATATACTTACGTTTTCCATGTTGGTTAAACAAATACATACATAAGTTTTCATACTTGCTTGATTGAAGATAGAATAGAAAAACATTAAAATAGTAGATAGCAGGAATTGCAACTGAACTTTTAAAGTTCAAACCATTCATCTTGATCACCTTGAACAAAAAAAATGAGAACAAAACTTAGTACCAAGTAATTTTGACAATAATTATAGAAATATATATAACTATTGAATGGTTGAGTAATTACTTTCCACTATCTAGGATGAGATACATATATCTCA